AGAGAGAGAGAGAGAGAGAGAGAGAGAGAGAGAGAGAGAGAGAGAGAGAGAGAGAGAAAGAGAGAGAGAGAGAGAGGAGCAAAGACATGTTGCCAAAACGGAAAGGCAACGGAGTAATACAAGAAACCTCACATTGATTCGACATAGCCAAATTCAAGAAGAAATTTTAAGACTTTGCTGCAAAAATGCCGATTAGTTGATCCCGTGTTGCAACCAATACATCTGACACATCAAGTTTCTGCATAATTCACGAACTACGTGACGGACTCAACCGGGAACATGAGGTGAACCCTCACAGCAGTGAAACCTTGTTAGATATGGAGCTCCAAAAATGTGGACCTTCAAAAGAAGAGGACCATAAAAGGTTGTAGCAGGTAGGTCCTCAAAGACCTCAGAGGGGTGGAAATGCACACAGCCATACTGATTGCAAGAATCAGAAGCTTCACAAAGAAAAAGGGCAAATCCCGTTCAGCGCGAAATCAGCCGACACTGTTCCTTTCATCTATTATACACAACGCGCGCTCCAAAAGTAACAGCAGGAACGCGATATATCCTACAGGCAAGGGGTCAAATCAGCGCCCTCATTCATGAATTTCATGCAAAAATTTTCAAAAAAACAACCAAAACAAATTAGGCTTACAATCTGTCTTCCAATCCTGGAGGAATGTCAGAATTTGTTGCCGGAGCGAGAGGACAGCACGATCCCCGTCCATAGCGGGCGGCCACAGCAGACGCACGACCAACAGCATCAGCAGGAGCATCAGCAGCCGCTGGATGCAAGCCACTCGCCACTGCCATGATAGCAGTGGTCCTTAGAGACCATACATACACAGAAAGCAGCAGGAGTGCGATATAGTGGCATGATAGCAGTGCGATATAAGGTCCTTAAGAGACCATATACACAGAAAGCAGCCAGCATTGCCGACATCAGAAACATGGAGATGCGTTCCACGGATGCGGGAGTGCGATATAGTGCAACCGACTAAACAGTGGTCCTTAGAGACCATATGCGTCCTGACGCATCCTCTGACACAAACTTTCACATCCTAACGTCATAGTGCAGCCGACAGAACAGTATCCTGGTGGCGAGTTCGGCGGGGTGCAGAAAGCTGCCGATGGTGGCAACAACTTCATGCAGAAAAGACCAAGCTGATACAGATAGGCTACCGTCGTCAACGGAATAGAACGCCCGGTCATTAAAGCTGTATCTAGACACAAAAAAGTGGACCAAATACGGTTATAATGACCGGGCGTTCTATTCGGGTGGTGAAGAGGCTATAGTGTGCATAGAGTCGCAAATTGACGGGTCTGCAGGTAGGGGAGCGAAAGCAACTTGGATTAGAAATGTGAATTCTGCAATCCAGTCTCTTTCCCAAGGACATCTTGACAGGTCTCTAGAAATTTAGTAGAAAAGGACTTTTCTAGTCGTAAATGCTGCCAATAGGATTGAGATGACAGGCAGGTAGGGAGCCTCTGGGCCTCTGGCCTTCCATCGATCACCTCATTCACTGAACCGTCAATCATGGGCCTCTGTTCACCGACTTTCATTCATTTACATCCCCCTCCTCACGATGTGTCACAATCTACCTCGCGAGTCTGGATTAGAGTCCCATCCATCTGTCCCTTTGTTGTATGAGTGCCCCCGTGTTCGCAAGGCACATGGTCACGGCCGATCTGGTTGACCAAGTCTTCGTAGCGTACGTTAGACCAGTGAGTGAAGGCAAAAAGGAAGAGATATCCAACGCCGCCAGAGGTAGAAAAACTGTTGGAGGAGTTCACCGACGTGCGAGAGACCCCAACGGGAGCAGTAGAGAGAGAGATCAAGCACCGGATAGAGATAGTCACAATCTACCTCGTTTACTTGCGCAACAGCAACAGCACATGACATCCCGATGGGCCTGTTGCTGAAGCAAACATCGACCAGGCACATAGCGGTCTTGGATTCCTCCATCACATCTGTTAAAAGCTGAATCAATCCCTAGAATGGGAAACACATGTGGCCCTTCGAGACCATATCTGCGTCTTCACGTACAGCTGGTTCCCAGGATGAAGAGCAGCTATATCCTCTGCAGTTGTCTGTCAGGTTTCTCCTATTCTGTGTGTGTGTGTGTGTGTGTGTGTGTGTGTGTGTGTGTGTGAGAGAGAGAGAGAGAGAGAGAGAGAGAGA